ATTTAAACCACAGTGCAGTCAAAATTCGGCACCCAATTCTTAGTAAACAAACATACCCCCCACTTCATTATGAGACCACACACCGATATGTTATGATATGCATTACTAATAACCCATAGCAAAAATTATATAAAAATTTCATTTATTCATTCATCTATTTATTTATGTACTTATTTAACAATCAATGTACTTCAGACAAACAACAAAGTCCCGCTCTGAACAGACATACAAATACCGTTGTACACACAAGCGGACAGAAATGTCTCATCCAAGCTTATGGCAGCTCTTCCTTTTTCTCGTTTTCAACCAAGAGCTGCAGCTGAACTGTAAATCACAGACGCACAACCCCCACGCGCACATAAAGCTCTGCCTGTCTCCCAAACTTCAGGGCAGGCTCAACTCTAGGGAGCAACCAAAAAAATAAAATACAAAAATAAAAATAAAAACTGCAGTCAAAATTCCACATGAACAGCCGAGTTGCAAAATTCCAAATCAGTCCTCACTTCAACTTTATCTAAATTTCAACAGGGCTATATATTAAATGCATACATTTTACTCTTGAGCGAATTACAGGTAATTTCCTGTGGCCATGAAATACCACGCGCTGGCTCGGCAAAACATAAAATATCAACCTTTTCAACCTCCCTGTCATGGATTCTCATCTTTCCGCATGCATTAACTTCACAAACCAAAAACAAGAATAAACAGCTGTATTTTCTCTGTAGACCTCAAATTTTCACCGGCAACTAAACCTGTGACTTATGTCATACAAATGCCTGCATACACACACCGATAAAGGTCACAGCTGAGGTGAAGACAGTCAATAAATCACATTATCAACAGTCACCAAGAACCTTGCCGTCTTTCCTCAGAGAGAAAACCCCTACTTAATGTAGACTAAAACAATGGAACGTTGCAAAAAATTTCCACAAAAATTTAGAATTTACACAGAGATCTCATCAGAGCAACAAAACAGTCCACAGAATCCCCAAACAGAAACTTTAGGTCAAACCCCATCCAACACCAACATCATCCACTGAAGTGCTCTCTGTCTGGTGAAATATGACTCACCCTTTTAGCCGGCTTGCAGAAAATGGTTCAGTGCGACGGCGGTGTCTGCTGGAGTATAGAACTTCTGTCTCGTGACGCCATTAAATGAGGTGTAAAAACCGGTCTTCTCGGCTCTGCAAACTGTGTTGTTGCTCCTGAAGAGAGAAACTCTGAAACAAGCTAGTTGAACAGCAAAAATCTTTATTTTGCAGTCCAGGAGATTTACAGCCAAAAACCCAATTGTGGCCTTCTAAGCCAAATGAACCACCAGTTAAAAAAATTAAGACAAAGGCAAAGAGTAGGGGCGTACAAGCCTTTTTAAAGGTTTCACAGTGCAGTCCAACAGATGCACCATTAATTTTGTCATGGTATACCTTAAGCATTCCTTTCCTAATATGGTAACATGTGCCGAGTTCTGAAGTTGGGGTCTAAGAGAGACATCTGTGCATTCCTGAGAAGAGGCCTTCACTTTTAGACACTAAAGAGAGTATGAATATTACTACAGATACTGAGTAATGAGCGGACGTAGGACGGGGTTTTTCGTATTGGGGTTTTATAGATCAACAGAAACCAGTTTGTTCGTCTGTTTTAGTGTGGACCCCAAGAAGAATAGTTCTCATTACCTAAACAAACTGTCATATTGTAAAGTTTGCAGATGACTGCTGTGGTCGATGCATCACCAACAATGAGTCTGATTATAGGCAGGAGGTGGAACGTCTGGAGTGTTAATGCAGGGATAATGACCTTAATGTGTACATCGGAGGGTCTGCAGTAGAAGGGGTCTCCACCATCAGGTACCTCTGTGTCCACCTGAGCAATGACCTTCAATGGACACATCAACACTTCCAGCCTGATCCAGAAGGCCTACCAGCACCTTCATTTTCTCAGATGACTGACTCAAACAGGACTAAGGAGCACAGCCGGACCTCTTTCTACAGGTGTGGAGAACATCCTGTGCTCCTGCATCACTGTAGCTGCGTTTACACTGCAAATGTGCGCAAAACTTTTTCAATATTTTGTTAATGTCGAAAAAACTGTTTCGCAATTGCGATGTTTCCATCAAGTAAGAAATGCCATTAAGTCACACGTGAATATGTTTGTTCTCGTGATAAGTCACTACAAACATGGTGGCAATGGTTGTAAACACAAACATAATTTGTCCTGATGCATCTCAGTAATCTAGGTAAAAAAAATCAAAGGAAAAAAATTGTATAGGTCCTCTGGACGGGTTCTTCTTTAATGAAACGTTTCGTCTCTCTTCCAAGAGACTTCTTCAGTCTGAGAGTTGGTGTTTGGAGAGTTGGAGGAACGTTGGTTTGAGAGAGGAGTAAAAGAAGCCATTTTTGTAAAGAAAGATCGTCCGTCATTAAACAGAGG